TTACATTAGGCCCAAGAGACCCAGGTCGAAATGCATCCTTTCCTTTTCCTTTTGTCCCTTCTAACATCACCGCCACATCGACGACGCCTACGACAAGCCGACTACAACAACCGTGGGGGAGGACCCCCCGCAAAGTAGTTAAAGAGAAATTAATGCGCCGGAACAGAAGAGGAATTGCTTCTCCGCTCGCGATGGCGCGTCACGCGACTAAAGTCTTCGCAATTTTATTTTCGATATTCGCGTATCTTAAAGAGACAATATTTCTATATTTTCCCATCGTGGCATTTCAGACCCTCTTTCAATGGCCATTCTGACAGGTATTAAACACCCTACGCTCGATTGTATATATTATATCTCGTGAAGGCCAGCTTTGTACCCTTTTCGAAGTATGTCATACTTCGGGAACATACTTCGCTCGATGATACGACACACCCTTCATGAACCTTGGGAAAATTAAAAAGAAGAGACGAAAGGTGAATTCTTTTTCAGGCGAGTATTAAAAGGGACACAAGAAGTTTTAATGAAGTACCAAGCACGTATACACGTCGAGTCTCTTGTAATTATACAGTTCGCTAATTTTCCTGGCTCCGAGATGAATTTTTATAAAAGAAAAAAAATCGTGGGATTGGCCGAGAACCATTATTTATAATCCCTTTCAGCCAGGATTTTTCCTCGCTCGATGGACCTTCGATTCTAAGCCGCGTTCCATCAATTACACGATAGAGTAGGACGTCGATTATCCGAATTAATTGGAGGAAAAATGTGTTCGGATAATCAGTTTTTCGGATAATAGGTTTAGAAGGAGCAGGTTTTGATTTATGTCGTTAATTAATTACAGATTAAACAGCTTAGAAATATAAACACTTTTTACTGGGAGCTTGGAAGAAGATATATTTAATAATAGAATTATAGAGTGAAAAAGAAGTGACAAATTTTTGGATACCCTCTAACAGAGACATTTATAGAGCACCTATTCCTTTCTGATATCCTACACATTGCAATGCAATACTCGATACATTTTCAAACTCACTGTGTATTTAAATAGTACATGAACTAGTAGCACATTTTGTCATAAATTTATATATGTTATCATTCGTGTCCAATACCATTAATAATGTTATATACTGATTCTATCTACAATCTACTAATTATTTCGTGTATATACCTAGTCTCCAAATTCTGATATATCACGTACCAATTTTTCTAATTAAATTAAAATTTATTGTTGGAACGCTAAAGACATAATTCGAGATATCTTGCATATAACGTCAATGTTAAAATATTTTTGATTATTACATACTAATGTATGATTGTGTACGTGTCGGTTGCCAGCCAAATTCCTTTGCTCAAGCGAATCAGTCTCTAAGCAATCGTTGTACAGCACACACCGATAGAGTTAGCAAATATTAAAACGTTGCCTTTCTATAATTCGTGTTCCTTCCTTTTTAACTCCACTTGCCATACCAAATTCTATCATTAATACATGTCTATTAACTCGTGATCAGTTTCAATTTTTCGATTTACATAAATATATTTATTCGTTATTCGACAACCGATCGTTCCAGTAGCTAATAAAATTCGCATAACCAACGTTCCACCGTATTTTCAAATACCAATGGTCCGAATATCACGGATCGTAAAGCAAAATGAAGGATAAACGCGTGAATTTTCGTCCGATGCCGGTTAATTGACACTCGGCATTGAAACTGGACCCTCGTTAGCTGTTTGCTCTTTTATCGATAGCAGAGATCAGGCAGAGCCGGAATTACTGTGTTTCGCAAACAGAACGAAAGTCTGAGAGCGAGATAACCTTTCATTGATCCCGTTTTATGAAGGATGTTTCGTCTTACATAGCTTCACCTGGCTTAACGTTGCAACTATCGCTGTGCACTCCATCAGAGCTGATCGACAAGCAATTTCGAGTTCATCGGAACCTCGAGTTCATCCAGGCCATTCTTCTCTAATACCTGTTAAGGTCTCGAGGTTCTTGTCGACGTTTTGGAAGAGCATCGTGCTCCGAGACAGGGCTGACCTTACCGGGATTTAGATCACGCGAGACTTCGTCGAGGAGCAGCGCAGCGTAAAAAAGGCATCGCGAGGTGGATGTAGAAGGAGGACGGGAATGAAAAATGATGGAACGAAGGTGGTACGTGTGAAACGAAAATTGCGGAGGTGTTCGCTTCGCGCGACAATTTGTATGGGAAGAAAGTACAGCTTGTATCCGCGTCGAGCTGAAATTGACTATCGGACGGAACTTGCTTTAACTTGGCTGTGACGATTTAAGAAGCAGGACGGCGAGGTTCTAAAAGGCGAAGGTCGAACGATTGTGCTTCTTTAAAGCAAAGACTGCGATGATGAGTTTGCTTCCCCCGAGTCAACAGTGGCGCGGTGTATTGAAAGGGAAGAGGGAAACGAGGGATAAAAAGTGTTCCACGAGGAACGGGGTTTCGAGATAGGGTGGAGCATTAATCGTACCTTCGTTAGTCGAATTCTTATTTACTTCGCCATCCGAAATCTCTATCGTCCGAAGGCTCTTTCAATGTTGACACTTGGTCAACCGAGCGGGCAGATCTGTCCGCGTTAAAGTAGACGTATGATCGCAGAGATCCTCCACTTTTATTTTAATAATGGTATTTAATGGTGTCACCATAGATACAATAAATTATAATGCACGATATTACGATTTAAATTCCGATAACGCTTGCCATAATCAACACGGTATAGTCGATCACACGTCGAGCTATTTCGTCCGAACTCGGTGATGAATAACACGTAACTGAGACAGAAAGTCATCGTGTTGTTTATGTTGGGGCCCTATCTATAGACCACCATTCTTGCCCGTGACACATTTGGCCCGATTTTCTTATCTCGATTCCTTATCGATTCCCCGAATCTCGCACGATATTGTAGGCCAAGGGGTTAAGTAGAATCAGTCCGCCAGACAATGGCTGACTAATGGCTGATTGTTCCTTTGAGTAGTATAGGTCCGCCAATGGTCAAACAATTTAAGTAATATAGACCCGAAACTGTATTCTATAAAAGCGGAGATAGTATCCGATGAATTGCAAGCAATTTCAGTTCAAGCCTGAAGAAAGGGAAAAGTAAACGAGATGAAGGCCACGAGTTTCTAAGAAAAAGTGGGAGTTCATTTTCGTTGGACTCACAATCAGAAGAAATAGTCACGACGAACAGAAGTACATGGCAAGAATAATAGCAATTTTCTTTGATAACTTTTAATTAATTAATTAATTTATTTGTTTATTTATTGTGGTATTAAAAAACAGGAAAAATTAGAAATGCGGAAATTCTGTTATCCAAACCTCTAGGTCCCTGAATAAATTCGGATGATCGAGGTTCTACTGTACTCGAAACTTCAATGCAAATGTTTTCACAAAATTCCAAGTGCACGATCGCGACGTTCCGATGAGTTTTACTTCCAGCGAAATTAATTAAGTCACCTCGAAACAGAGGATCGAAAAGAGAAGGTATTAAAGTCCGAGAGGAAAAAGAAATACACGGCGACTGCTCTAAATTAAATTCCACTCCATCGAGAAGTATATCTCTCGTTTTGTTCCATCATATTTCCAGCAACAAAACATTTCTCCCGGTTGCCAGTAGACTTTTGTAGAATGTTTGAAACGAACCGGTTCCCGATATTTATGAAATAGGTGAAGTGGAAAATCGTAAATGAGTATCTCTTTCCATCCGGGTAATGAACGACCCAGTTCCGTTCTATCGCGAAAATATTTGCTTTTTACAAAAATTAACGATTAACCCCCGTTCTTTCGCGAGGACCGTGGAATTTAAATCCCGTAGCAATTTTTACTCGAAGATAAATTTAAACACCGATACCTCCGACTTTTTAATTGGTAAACCAATCACGAAAAATCGATTTGTCGCGAAACAACAGTCGAGTAAAATTTGTGTAACTTTCAAAAAACATTCGAATATTTAATATTTTTACATAAAGGATGCAGGGACTCCCGAAGGCTGTTCAAACTCTATCTTCAGTGACAAAGAAGCTTCATCGAGTATTCTGAAATTTATCCAAGATAAACTGGATTTTCAGGACATGTAGGAATGCTAGGGTTTGAAAGTGAATGCAAGGGAACACTTGGGCCTACCTAGCTGATGACGGACGATGAACAGCCGCCTAGGGTTCAGGCCTTAGGGTGATTAGGTGCTTAAGGTGATGTCTGGAGTGCACGTGGAAGAACGAGTGACCCCGAGCAAGGATCCGATGAACGGGATATTTATTTATGCAAGTTACCTATGGAATGCAAGTGAAGAGCAAAAGGCTCCTGAGTGTTTAGGGTATGTGACCCACCAAGAGCGAGGCTATAAGAAATGCGTGAAAGAACACAGAGTGCAAGGTTTAAATGAGTGTGCAAGGACTGTCCTAGGGCAGGACAGGCCTTTACGGAGTTTGAAGAAGAGTCGATGTGCGAATGTTAGTTGCGTAATCATAATTCAGTTATTAATCTAGTCTTTCAATTTGTACTTTACTCCTGTAACGGAATACACGAAACGAACTAACTAATCCCACTTATGGGATTCTATCGGGGTTCACTAATCTAGCGACGCCACAGTCAGAATCCCATAAGTGAGATTGTTCGTTCGTTTCGTGTATTCATTCCAGTGATTGTTACACTCCTAAGTCTTTTCAGTTCGTAATAAACAATATATTGGAATTAAACAACATCTCTTATCCCGTATATTCGCCAATGAAAAGTGTCCCAACATAAATACCGATAATTAATCGATATCGAAACGACGTTATATATAACATTTATATTAACAAAGGAGAGAGAAAGGAGGGAGAAATTTTAATTAATCCAAATGGAAATGCCGAAGTTGAATACAATAATTGTACCAGTTCAGGCTACTCGTACGATATCGACGAATGGCGCGACCCTTGAAAATCCCGGTATCGAATCCCGTTAATTAACCTTCCTTTCGTCATTGTCTGTTCAGGGTGCATCATATTCGGGTCAGATCAAGAAGTTGCCGGAGTTATGAGAGCTGTTCGCCGTTGCAATGCAACCGGTGCGTTTTCATGGATCGGTAGCGACGGATGGAGCGCCAGGGGGTTAGTCAGTAATGGTAACGAGCCAGAAGTCGAAGGTACTCTATCGGTTCAACCTCAGGCCAATCCTGTCAAAGGTTTCGAGGAATACTTCCTGAATCTGACCGTGGAGAACAACCGGAGGAATCCGTGGTTCGTCGGTAAGCGAACGACTAAAGCACGCGAGCCTCGTCAAACTTCGCTAATCCGAACTTCCGCGGGCCGCAACTGCAGTGGTACGAGATCGAGTTAAAACTCGATAGCCGAGTGATTGACAGAATCATTTGGACGAAACAACGGCCAGTTTCCCCTCCATCTTGATTCCCAATTTCTCCGAATTTTTATTTCTTTTATAGCGAGCGGAATTTGACGTTATCCATTAACCAAGAATGCAACGTGTACTAACGCCATGTGTCATGAATCGATTTTAGAATTCTGGGAAGACCACTTTCAGTGCAGATATCCGAATGCGTCCAGAACTCCGTACAATCAAAAGTACACGAAACCCTGCACGACGAAGGAGAGATTGACGAGACAGAACACGGCTTTCGAGGATCAACTGCAGTTCGTTTCCGACGCTGTCATGGCGTTCGCCTATGCCTTCCGGTAATATAATTCTGCAGAATTTCTCGCGCCAGTTTCCCCCGATGTTTTATTTCATTTATCGAAATTTCACGTGCCATTTGAACGCGTGACTTTTTCGTACAGGGATATGCACAAAGACCTTTGCCATGGGAAACCTGGACTTTGCGACGCGATGAAGCCCACTAAGGGTACGGAGCTCTTGAAGTATCTCAGGAGGGTGAACTTCGAAGGTAAGATAGAGAGTCTTCTTCTAAGGATTTACAAATTTAGACTTGGAGTCAAGAGGCTTCGTTTAATTGTATAAATATATTGAACAAATGGGTCGATTATTTAAAAAGAAATTTGTTCAGATTGCTTATCATTGCTGTCAAAATTGACAGTTCTTAGGAAAACGTGGAATAAAATTTAGAATTTTGAAAGAGTTTCGGACTCGACTTTCGCGAATTTGGATTTTACGTTTCGACCCAGCTGTGGTAAAAATATTTCACGTGAAACTTGCGTTTTTATCGAGTGAAAATCTTGAAGGTTTAAGCGGCGACAAGTTCAAGTTCGACAAGAACGGGGACGGACCGGCTAGATACAATATCATACACTTCAAACAAATCGAGCCTGGCAAGTACAAGTGGATTCGAGTCGGCAAATACCTGGAGGGTGAATTAAAGTTGAATATGTCCGGTAAGCCACGGATCGTTTTGCGTACCCCCGATTCCTTTTCTTCGCGAAATTGTACGCCACCGGCGTTAGCTACCTACTCGCATATTCCTTGCAGAAATCCAATTTAAACTTGGACATCCTCAGCCACCCGAAAGCGTGTGCTCTCTACCCTGCGAAATCGGCCAGGCAAAGAAATACGTGGAGGGTGAGAGATGCTGTTGGCACTGCTTCAACTGCACTCAATATCAGGTTTGTGGTCGTATTCGAGCGTGATCGTTCGGTTATCTGGATCGAAATATTTTCTGCCCGCCGTGACAATTCGGTCAGCCGACACGAATTTTCGAATCTACGATCCCGAAGCTTATAATAGAATTTTATACCCGGGAACATGAACGGATATATCCCTCCCAGCTTCGATATCCTTCGGCTTTCAGGGATGCATTTACGCGAGGCCAGGTCTACCCGCATGGTAGACGAGGTTTAATAAAAGAATTCGAAAGTGCCACTTTGGACCAGCGCTTTCTCTCAGTGGCCGTTTGCTCCTCTACTTTACCAAGACTTTTTCCTAGCTGCACTTTTTCTTCGCTCACACTTCGCACTCTACTTTCGCGATCGACTAAGCAAGTCTTACTTCCGTTTCACGGCTACCTTACTTCGGACGTCATTCGAGCATTCGTCGTCGCAGATAACGTCGCAGAAAGCGGCTTTAATGCAGGCTAGGAGATCGCTTTCCGAATACCTACAAGGGACTTTCCTCTTAAGCGTTCTCGCTCTGAACGAGCCACTAGAATAAATAGAGCACCGAGCTACCTTGGACGGATTTTTCGTGAAATTTGAACGTCTGTTAAACAGATACGGCATCAGAAGGACGAGACCCAGTGTACTCACTGTCGTCAAGGCACGGTACCAGACGAGACCCATTCTACTTGCCGTGACATCCCGGAGGAATTCCTGCGACCAGAAAGCGGCTGGGCAATAGGAGCAATGTCTTTCTCCGCTACAGGGATACTGGTAAGTGCTTCTCGCGACCAACGAAATTACAGCAAGACACGCGAGCAAATAGTCACTCGCCGATGAAAATTGCGCGACAGAGATATGTCGGCTATCTGAATTTCCTTCGCGATTGTATTCTAATCGTGGAGTAGCGAGAAAGGTTGCCGGATAAAGATCGATTTTTCTAAGAACTCCCGCTGCAATCTAGAATATACGACGAAATAATCACGAGTCTTAACCACGTAATAATCTAACGATGCATTAAAGTAGCTTGCGGTACAACTACCGCGACAAGAACCAGCTGCATTATTGATCCGAACTTTTCGCTGCTGAATAAGTAGTAAATATCGAAATATCAGCGCCAAGTCGCACCTTGAGAACTCACCGGGACGAAACAGCTTTGCAGGCTCGTTAACGCTAGGTTTACCGACGCTATCTGTATACCTATTTTTACATATTTGACACCTGTCAAATTGACAAGTCAAGGAAACCACGTGTCTTTTTTTAACGATTAGTTTAATTTAAAAACAATTACGATATTAACAGTCTTAATATAAGTTAACTAAATATGTTACCATCGTATAATTGGAGCATCCCATCCGTCAAATTCACGGGTTCCGTAAATCTAGTGTTAAAGAAGTTCCTTGACAGTAGATCTTCAATCGCGATCACGTCATGAGTGATCTTCAAGCTGGATTTGAAGATGAAATATTTCGCGAGCCACGATGAATTTTAATTGGCAGAAAAATTATATTATTGTATAATTAATGTTAGATAAATCCTAGCATTGCAGACAGAGATCTATTCGTTGAATAAATAGCTATTTCTTTTTAATAACAAACAGACTTATTTAAACTAAAATATCACACTGTTTCCCTCAATTCTTGAACCCTATTCTCTACTCGCTATTGACGGGTTCCGTAAATCTAGTGTTAAAGAAGTTCCTTGACAACAGGTCTTCAATCGCGATCACGTCATGAGTGATCTTCAAGCTGGATTTGAAGATGAAATATTTCACGAGCCACGATGAATTTTAATTGGCAGAAAAATTATATTATTGTATAATTAATGTTAGATAAATCCTAGCATTGCAGACAGAGATCTATTCGTTGAATAAATAGCTATTTCTTTTTAATAACAAACAGACTTATTTGAACTAAAATATCATACTACGTTTCCCACAATTCTTGTACTCTATTCTCTACTCGCTACGACTTGATTGTGGTTATTTAAAATCTGATACTCTCTATTTTCATGCACAAGCTCTCTTCGTTGATCACTCATTTTCCACGCGACTTCGGCCTCGGTGGACCAAGTGCTTCGGATGCATTCCTAAATTTTTGTTCATTGCTTGCACTCAATTCGTAAATATCTCATCCATACAATCCTTGTACGTGGTCACCCGTCCGTCCGCACCCACTCCAGATATTACCCTAAACGCCTAAGCCGAACCTAATACCTCTCTTAATACTATTTCCTTTACTAGAGTCCTTCCCAGCTCGCAATACCACATTATTATACACTATTATACACTCATGTACGACTTTCGTACGTAACATTTGCATACATCGCGCTAATCTCGAAAAACCCGTAGACTGTGCCATCGTTTTAATAGTATATGCAGCATATGTAGCATGCATATATACGTGTTCCAAATCTGACCAGTAAAATTGCGGAGGAATATCATATCGTCTGTTACTTTATACGATAAGCAGAATATACGATGCCGATATATTAACAGTTTCAACGAGAGTTAAATGTAATTCAAAGTTTCATAGGGTAATTTACCCCGGGCATAAAAGTTCGATGAGAAAGCACGAGTCCTCGTGCCGTTCATCGAGGATGCAGGATGCTTTGGGATTACTCCTGACCGCGGTTAATAAAAATCCGATAAAACCGAACAGCGGTACAAGAGTCTGCTGTTTAAGGAATATTTCGCTGTCAACAGATAACTTTATTCGTCTGTGGGGTGTTCCTGAAGCACAACGACACACCGGTGGTACGTGCATCTGGCCGCGAGCTGTCATACGTTCTGCTCTCCGGGATTCTGCTCTGTTACCTCGTCACCTTCGCCCTTGTCCTCAGACCGACGGACCTGGTCTGCGGCATTCAGAGGTAAGGGGTTAAAGATCTTCGGGACACGGTGCAGCCCATTTTTCCCTTGGCAAGGAGCGACTCGTGGCCGGCGAAAAAATTCAATTCCCGGCAGAAACGAGTCGGTTGCCGGCGGTAAATTGACATTAACCGGGGAACGCGAGCACATGATCGATCGGTGCAAAGCTGATAAAGTCGAGGGACGAAATTTCATCGGCGAAAGTGAATTACACGCGATTCAATTACGGGGAATCAAAAGAAGAATATAAAGCAGGCCGGGGAATCCACTTAGAAGTCAATGTTGCACCTGCTGCCAATTTCTTAAACGCCCTCGCGCTCCCCGATGGCCCACTCTTTCTTGCAGTCGTGTGGAATTATGATACAGTATGGGTTAATTTCGCAGAGAAATAATTCTATCGTTAACGTTATTGCAGGGGATCAAGGTGGAGGTGGTTAAATGAAGCACTGAAGCGAAGTCGCTACTAATGAATCTCTGACAAGACTTTATTATACGAATTGTTGACTAATTAATTCTTGACTCTGAACTCTGAAACTATCTGACTATGGGACTTCGATACTGATTTAATAACTCGATGACTAATTCTATAACTATGTGATTCGACGACTCTATGACTATAACTGTGTGACTTGACGACTAATTCCATAACTACGTGATTCGACGACTCTATGACTATAACTGTGTGACTCGACAACTCTGTGACTATAATTGTCTAATTTCTTGCTTCAATAACGATTCTCTCGAATATATCATTTACAAAACTGTTCATAATGCTCATAGCTCTGCTCGAAATACCTGTGTCCGGACGTACTTGTTTAAACACTTTACGAATAAATAAACACCGAGTCCCGAATTGCTCAGCATTTAGGATTTGGTTAGTAAAAGACAGTAACGGGATTTTTAGTGCTTAATTCTAAGTCTATGTTGTAAAAATATCCTAAATTAAATTATTGTCAAAAAATTCTGTAAGTCGTGTGACACGAGGGGTATATGGTCCGACAGATTCGCCGCTGGTTTCTGTTTCACCGTCGTCTACGCAGCCCTCTTAACGAAGACTAATCGAATATCGAGGATCTTCAACGCGAGCAAACATGGCGCCAAAAGGCCGTCGTTCATATCGCCGCGATCGCAGCTGATCATTTGTTCCGGCCTAGTGTTCGTGCAAATTTTAGTTAATGGTGTCTGGATGATAATCGACCCGGATACAGCGAAGCACCACTATCCGACCAGGGAAGATAATTTGCTCGTTTGCAACAGTTACATAGACGCCAGTTACATGATCGCCTTTGCCTACCCCATCATGCTGATCGTCGTGTGCACCGTGTACGCTGTTCTCACCAGAAAGATCCCAGAAGCTTTCAACGAGAGCAAACACATCGGTGAGTGCATTCGGTGTATATGACACTGACGATACGTGCACCGTCTTAAAATTTGCAAATTTTTAACTTGGAAAGTCCAGCATCCCTTATGCCAACCCCTACGCCATCCCATTTCGATTCCGCGTGGAATTTCTACGATGATCGCAAGACATACTCGACCTAAACTGTGCCAACATCCTATAAAATTCTCTAAGCATGCGATATTTACCGGATAGAAATTTTATTAGCTTCGGTATACGCAGCACAATTTAGGTCTCGCGGAATTTAGGTCTGAAACGTTTAAAGACAGCAACTTTGAATATAACTCAAACACGAGATTCAAGTAACAATTCTAGAACTAAAACTGAAGTTCCGTCGAGTCGTAAACTTCAATCTCCCTCTCTTTGTAGGAAGCTGTTGAATGCAGATAGAATCGTGTGACATTAATGAGGATAGTTTAGCAGGGCCTGTGTGCATCATGAGGCAAAACAAAGCGAACCTAACGCGTATTCTCGATTTTAGAATTCTCTTTGTCGAATAATGCACGGCAGCGTGAATTCCCGTCGACTGTTAACAACAGAGTTGTTAATTCCGTTGCCGAATTCGCTATGATGAACTTCCTGCACAGGTTTCACCATGTACACCACCTGCGTCATATGGCTGGCTTTCGTGCCGCTGTATTTCGGGACCGGGAACAATGTCGCATTGAGGATCACATCGATGTCAGTCACTATAAGCCTATCCGCATCCGTGACTATAGCGTGTCTCTTTAGCCCGAAGGTAACTCACTGCGACGAAATTTCGGAAAGCTATAGCGCCAGCTATTAACCTGCCGTTTTCATCCAACAGCTGTATATCATTTTAATACGACCAGAAAGGAACGTGCGACAGAGCATGATGCCAGCCAGATATAGCACGACGAAAAGTTCAGCAGTCACGGCTACCAATGCCTCTAGCATGATAGCGCCTGTTACGCTCACTGCGGCTACATGCGACCAGAATAAGACTGTTAAAAAGCACATCACCACTACCATAGACTGCTCGACTCAGAGCGAATGTGAGTACGCGAATCTTGCTGGTTAAAAATTCAAATCAATATCCCCAAGACTCCCCATTGCCGCGTTAAATATTATATTCGGTCCTCCAAGACTGATATTGAATTTTCGAACGTTCCCTTTTGTTCACGTACGAGACCATTGTATTTCCTTGTATTGTATTTCAGCGTCGTCTAACAAGGGGAGTGCAAGTCCTTCGGGTCATAGATTTAGTTGAAACTTTGCATAATGGCAACTACTCGATAGTTTTCGAGATATTTATGATTAGAGTTTTATTATTGCTTTAATTAAAGATTTATTTCGAATATTTATCAAGTGCCCTTGTGGCCTAATGAAAATATCTGAAAATTCCCATGCTGGTGGCAATTTTTGGACGTTGCCGTTAGGTCACAATACCACTTGGTAACTATCGATAACTATTTAGAAGAAATCTCTAGTTAAGAATAATAAAACTTTAATCATAAATATGTTAAAAATTATTAAGCAGTTGCCCTTATAATGGTACATTTTCTTGAACTGGATGACTAAATCTGCAAACCTGCAAAATTTGTACTAAATCAATAACCCGAATTACTTCGTGGGAATTTTCGGATATCGCCATTAGGCCACAATTTCATTTGATAACTATCGATAACTATTCGAAAGAAATCTCTATAAATACCTCAAAAATTATCGAGTAGTTACCCTTATAATGGTACATTTTCTAAAACTGGATGACTAAATCTACAAACCTGCAACGTTTCACCTGAATTAACGACCTGATTTAGGACTTGCACTCTCCTTGTAAGCAAAAGACAGCAAAAATTAGCTCCACAATTTTGCAGACAATAATTCAACGTGTTTAAATTTAACATATTCGAGTATCCTTGATAATCCAATTCGATGTACGTTCTGAAAAAAAATTTCTCAACGACGAATTAATATTTCTCAAAATTGCCAATTTTTTGCTTCAACGCTTTGTGGGATGACTCGGACATCTCTTCGAGTGATTTAATAATATTTCCAGGGAAAATACGTCTCTTTAATTTCCTTTAGGTTGCGCGTTTTAACCACCGTATCTCTCGTAGAAAGCGTCTAATTATCAACCGAGACTTTTAATTAAACGCCTGGGCAAAAACTGACAATTTCGCGTTGCCGATCTGCACGGAACCACCACGGGCGAATATCTGCTCGGAACAGTTTCTTTTTCCCCTCTTCTTTTATTTTTCTGCCGTCGGTTAACTATTTCAACGCGAAATTTGTTCCAAATAATGGAATATCTCTGTATCTTCTCACGAGGCACATGCAGAGCTCTTGCTCGTGTTAAATCTCGAGATTCTAATTCTTTCATCCGGGGCATCGCAATTTGCTCGAGTTAATTGGAGAATATTTTCCCTTGCAGATTACGAGCTGGAGGTGAAGGATCAGAAAAATGGAAAACCACCGCCATCGGTCGTCTCTCGATCGACCCAGACTACTGGCAACAACGACAAGGACTCGAGTGCGATGGTATCGAGCAAAGAATCGAAAGAGAGCACCACGACAACGAAGCAGCTGAACAACAACGCGAGAATAGGAAACGGACCAGTGAACCAGAGCGACGTCCCTTTATAGCAGCAAGCTTCCACAGAATCAGCTGTTCTGCCCGCGACTCTGAAACCGATTTCGAAAAAGCCAGTGGTAGTTTAAAAGGAAATCTCGATACCGTGTAAATACGACTGAACATAATTCGAGATATCGATACGTAGCATGCGTTCCTCCCGATTCCCTTTGACGCTCTACGCTCTGGACGATGTCGAGGTTGGTCGAAGACGAACGTGCGACGAACAACGTATAAATTCTATCGTGTGTCGTAAACGAATACAATAACGATAATTTATCTCGTGTACGAACGGCGTTACCAACGAAGAGAGGGAAAAATATCGAGTAAAACCGAATTATCTCGAACGCGGAGGAAAATAGCCGATCAGGAATGTTTCGATGAACGTTTGACAATTTGGAAAAGCTGATTCTGTTAATTATCATTAATACACGAGATCACTGAAAGCGCTATACACACCAAGTTGCACCACGCGAGACGCATAATCATCGGTCGTAATTAACTGTTAAGTGGCGTTTTTAAAAACTGCTCTAGTTTCTTCTGTGATCATAGCGTAATGCACGTAATAATCACGTGAAATGGCATAAACCTATTTTGTATATACACTATCATTTCATAACGTCTGTGCACAATTCGCGCGAACAATTCACCGGTTAATCGAATTAATTGAGATATTGTAAATATCGATATAGACGAGTTCGTTATCGCGTAAAGGCGGGAGGCAAGTCGCGTATCCAAAATCGTTGCCAAAACACGATTACGTGTCGACGAGACTCTGTTACTAATTTTTGTAAAAAAAAAAAGAAAACAGAAGAAAGAAGAGAAAAAATACGATTCGTCGATTTTCTGTACATACATTGCCATCTGTAAATATGAAATGAATTACCGCATACGTATAAACGATCCGGAGGAGGGATTAAACGATTCGAGGCTAATAATTCTCGTGGGAAAAATTTCCAAGCGTGACTATACGAACGTAAACCCTTAGGTAATCTTTTCTCCTTCTTTTCCAATCTCCTCTGCAGACTATAGGAATTGCTAAGCGTAGAGTTAAAAGCGCGATAAAAATTGCGTATCGGAGACACCGCGAAACGTTTTCTCGTCAGATCTAGTCGCTCTAATTTTAACCTAATATGCTTGGTCCTTGTACGAAACCGGGGAAAATAAAGATAAAGCGAACGAACGACGAAGAAAGGGGGGAAAAAATGTTTCGTAGACTCTGGTGTACATATACACATGTGTTGAGAACTTGTAAATTCTTTTGGTAGAGTCGCAATCACGCGATAAACATATCCAATCTAACTCGTGTGCGTAGTTGTTTCTTCGATAGCGATAGTTGCGCAAGAATGAGTATCGAGAGTGGTCGATTACTTCGAAGAATTCGTTGAGAACGGTTTTATATAAGCGTCGATTTATTCGCGGCGCGTGTACAAAAGATTTGTAAAACGTTTTGAATTTTTCTAGAATCGAAAGGGACTGCTGGATGTCGAACGTTGGATACGAATGAGCCCAGTGTCCACCGTTCGGCACGGTCCTGTGTTTCTTTAAAAAAGCAAAATCACATTCAACAACGATACTCGATAGATCGGGATCTAGCCGAGAATGGTGCACGAGCATCGAGTTTAATTAACGATTTCATTCGCTAAGAAATATTCTGGCCAAGCGAGAAACGGGTCTAGGCGTATAATCAGTGTGTGTGTAAGATAAAATTGCGTGAGAAGGTAAATTTATCCGACTGTTTTCGAACGATCACATTTAATTCGAGAGTATGTAAATACATTGAAACTATGTGATTGTATATATAGACGATACCACTATAAGTATTAAGGCATGAAAAAAACGAAAACATTAGTTCGTACGGAACCAATTTAGCCATTAATTAATTCTATAAGAGTTAAGACTTCGAATGTGAGATTAAAAAGCCGCGCGAGATGAATACCACGATGCAACGCAATGCAAATGACAATGTCATAGGAGAAAGTGAGAACTCTTAAGCTAGTTCGCGCGAACTATTACGGTCTAAGGATATTTTAAATACGTACGAACACTGCAGTAGAAAGACACAAATTTACATGATGTTACACTGGATGTATTCGTTGAAACGATCGAAAGATACCGAAAACGAAAGGGTCGGTCGAAATAAAATCATTCGTGAAAATTACACCCGCCATCTTGTGTTGCATTATCTTTCCCCGTGTGTGCGTGCGTGTGCGTGTCCCCGAGTCTCGCAGCGAAGAAAAGAATGACACCTTGCTGGACATCTTGTGTTACTTTTTTTAAGGATCTCTTTTATTTCTCAAAAAGTACAAAAAGATTACAGAGAAAACGATGCGCTGTTCGTCAGCGTTGTAGACACAGACAGACAGACAGACAGACGAACAGACAGAATCCGATCGAGTGAATCCGATTGGTGATATGCCACGAGGTTTCACCTAAGCTGAACATCTCAATTCGGCTCATCTTTCAGTTCATGGTGCCTTACCGGGTTAGTGGATCCTGAAAATCCCGATTAGGCGTATCATTTGCTACTTGTACCTCAATACACATTATTAGATTGTCACGATAGATTATTAGAATACACGAGTAGATTAGACACTAGTGTTAGAGAAACGCACACTCCACTATGTGATTAGAGAGAATCGAACTTAACTAGACGGAACGTGTACGACTTGCGGATAGCACCTGCTTCGGGAAGCTGGGATACCGATTAAAAGCTTATCTACGAGTAACGAAAAGCGTAAAAGCGAAGAGATCTATGAAACGAAGTGGAAAACTGGTATGGATAATTGATCTACTTCTAGACTCCTACTTACCGTATCCTATGCTAATTAATACGACTACGAAGGAAGCATACCGCAAACCTAATGTTCGTTCTAAGCCGTACAACCATTCGTAACATACGCAGACGTGAAGGAGAGGCATTAAAGGGTGCAGAGAAATAGAAAAGCCTCGCTAAAATAAATTATCTTTTTATTCCATTAGCAATTACAACGCTCTGTAATTAGACTGACATTTCTTGTTCACTAAGCAATGTGTCGTTCGTATACCGTTTACATCCTCCTAAACGCACAACCTTTCCTTTTCTCATTTTTCATAACAATAGTCGATCCGACTAGTTACGCTTCGCCGTTATACCGTCACTATTAACTACGCTATATCTTGCCTTGATGTAGGAAGGAAACGGAAAGACGATACGAAGTTAACACAAACGATGGGGAAAAGGATTAATACTGGTATTAGACACACGTAAGCAACTCGTCACGCTGAATTCTACCGGCACTCAGTGACGTCGGTGTTCTGTGTAGGCACGGATACAATAATAAATATGCAATTCATTGCAAATAGCTATCAGACTTGCCTATAAAACTTGTCGAACCCTGCTTCGTTTTCATTCACACCTTACAACGCAAAGTATAAAATCTTTGGTCTGGCTGAGAACTCTCGTACACGCTATACGTTTTACAAAATTCGGAAGCTTATTCGTTATAAAAGTACTTTGTCATTTCTCGTTTCGTAAGAAAATCGTTCGTCATTCTCTCCTCGTTTGAGAATCTCGATGTGAGCATGATCACAATGTGTGTTTACCATGTTCGTGGCACGGCTTTGTTCACCATTTACATTTGTCTGCTTCGGATCGCTGACAATAAATATTGATTCGATATTAAGCTCGACGCGAGCACGTGTCTACAACGACTCATTACTCGATAAAGTTCGAATGCGTTCTCTTTGATAAATCGTTTTCCTTAGGCATGACTAATCTACTGTGCAGTGAAGTAGAGAATCTACGTTTACGATCGAGAGTTCGTATGTTATTTAATAATAATCATGACTGGATAACTTTCCTAACATTCCTAACACAAAGTTTTGCAAAGATGTTAATGAGAGAAGTGTGAAATTTAATAATAACACCGGCTCCAAACCTAAAACCGAATACGACATACAAATGCATTTATAAATTTCCTTCCATCTAAGAGATCTAAGCTATCTTAATATCACCATGCATCTGTTAGTTCGAGTTATAATCTTAAATAGAATAAATATTAATAAATTTGTTAATATATATTATCCCATCCCACTTTCCTTCGTTTCTGACTAGCGTACGAACAGAAACGATAATTTGGAAAAACTTTGCACCTTTGATATAACAAAATTTTCATATAAACAAATGCTATTATTAAACAAATGTAACAAGATGATTCATAATGCTATATTTCGTTACACATATATACAAGATTTTCTCTCCAAACGAATGAAAATGCAATCCCTGTGGAATCTGTATGATATACCAGGACTTGGCAATGAACTTTCCCTGTGTTCGCTATGATGGTGCTTCGTAATTGCATTAGTCATCATTTATCGCAGTTTACATAGGATTGCAAGGATATCAATGCAGATTACAAGTAATATACTACAATCCTGTCATCGATGAAATACATTTCATATGGTAAAAAATTAGTGAATTCCCTTCCAGAACTTACCACTGCCTTTAATACCTTTGACCTTCTGTTGTTTCTTCTTTGCATCTGGTGGAGCTGATAAAGCTTCTCTGCTTGATTCGCTTCCTCCTGATCCTGAACTACCTGCAGCCATGTCAGCTTCCTGCACACCTCCACCCCCAGCTTGTGCAGCAAGAGATTTCTTAATATTAGCAATCTAGCAGCAAAACGATTAAATATCCCAGTATAAATGTCTATATGTTTCAACATTGTCGATTAAACAGACATTACTTACGTCTCTCTGTACTCTTTCTTTGTGATAAGTGGCCTTCTGTTTTTCTACACTCGCTCTTGTAACTTGTTCCTCGATACATGCTAACACGGTATCACAAGCCTGACTCCAAGCAGCTAATGTTTCAGCCACTACACCAGTATCTCCAGGCCTAACGTCACGACCTAAACCAGCATAATCTACTTCTAACTGTGAATTCTTTTGATCCAGTTTGCCATGTATTATATCTGCATAAATAGCCTCTATTATTAAATCCTCTAAATCTCTAACATTCTTTATATCTAATTCTTCCAACAATACAGAATACGGTATGCATTTGGACTTTGTGGCTAGTGTTACGATTGTTAGATGTTGCAGCTTTTTCTTTTGAGTAGAAGTTAATTCTAGAACCTTGTCTTTGTTCTCTAAATATTCTTTGTACGTGCCATATGCAAATAAATTCAGAGTATTCCAGTACTGAACATATGGCCCGTTTTCTAATTCTTTAATATTTGGCATATCCAGTAGCTCTCCGAACACATTGACACCTGGTGTCTCTACTGCTTGCTTAATAAGCTCGATTGCAGCTGCTCCTTTGGCAGTTTTCGCGAGCAATACAAACTGCTCCAAAGGATTACTAGCTGACTTTTCTGTAGTAGTTGCACCAGTCATATTGAACCTGTTAAATAAACATTAATCGTTGCAGCAAATGAGCATGTCAACGTTCGATAAATCTTCTAACCTCATCATCCATCAAGGAAAACCCATTGCAATAACACGCGTATTTGTAACGTTACAATTTGTTTGCATTAAAATGTTGAAACATATTATAGGTTAGAAACCATTCCTATCCCGAATACTCTTTCTGCCGATATTATTATCAGAAATAAAGAACTAATTAACCAAAGAAGTTGACACGAGACACGCGTTTGGTACATAAGAACAACTTACTTTCTCCGATGTTTACAAATATCAAATTGCTTTTTCTACTGAATATGCTTCGGATGTGTACGAGTATTCAAATACAACCGTGTAAGTCTTACCACGAGGAAGGGAACGGAACTTTCACCAGATGACGATGTATATTGTTCTACGAAAAAGGCGAACGGAATAGAGGACGGTGATAAAATATCATACAAAAGAACCATCAAAAGAAAACACTTCGCGAAACATATTTCGCGAGAATCAATACGTTCTTTGTGAAGTTCTCGTTCGTTCTAGGTTCACGCGAATGTTGTCGGCACTGGCAAACAGTGTCCCGAGCCTTGTATAACTTCAACGTGTTATATTCTGTTTGACAGAAGAGAGGGGAATGTGTTGTTCTCCGCGAATGCGAACGGTTTATGTTAATAGTCTTTCCAAATGATCGTGCCGTTTGATGGGAAATAGTGAACGGAAAAATTTCAAGATTGCAGTTCGTCGGACGATACTGCGCTTGAAAATTCCGGGCAACGGATAGTACAAAATGAAGCCTTTAATCGAATTCGAGGAATGTTTGCGAGACACGCCAAAGTTTCGGTAAGAATCAGTTAAAAGACCCTTCTAACGCATCGCACTTTGTTTGCTTCTCGTGCACTACTGTGTCGCACGCTGCACGCATCACTGCAATTATATTCCCTGCACCACATTGATAATGCATTGATTAATAAAAAGATGGTATTTTGTGAATATCCGTTTCGTATTTGCAGATCCTGCATCGAGGAAGTAGAGGCAAACGTTGATCTGCTCGAACAAAAATTAGACAAGGTATTGATATTCGTTTTATGAAAATTTGTCAAAAGTGGCAGAAATATGAAAGTTCTCAGACACCTAATATTACAGTAATGTAAAAGGGTTATGTTATTTCCTGTTATTCGAACAGAAATTATTGACATTAAACAATTGCTGAATGCATATAATTATAAAAATTCTGACTGTCAAACAATTGCACTTTTGTATATGACTAGCTACATTATGGTAGAATATGTTACATAAGTGATGTTATGTTCATTAATGAACAGTTATGATAATCCAAGTTTTAAAGCATTTTAAAAAATCCTTTGCAGGTGTTAAAAAATTGTAACCAGATGATTGACACTGGGAAACTTTTTGTAGGACAACAAAGGTATGTCTTGACATGTATAATGAATTATATGTAATTACTAGATGAAGTAAAATTTTCCCTGAAATGGAATTCATAGTTGAAGCACATGTATAACAGAGTTATAAATGTTTCATTGGTTGAATAAAATATCTTATGGAAAAGACATTAATCATTTCAAATCAAATGTGTTTAATGATAAAACGGAAGAGGGAGATTCCAAGCAATAGAGTGGAGTCAGGAAACACATGAATTACAGCTCTGTTGAGAATGACTCATGCATATGGTACCCAATTTAACACATGAGAAATGATACAGATAAAACACTTGCAGCTGAGGGATTATTCATTTTCCATTGACTCCTTATATTATGTTGAAATAAAAAATATTTTTAACCAACAAACATTCCTCTTCATTATTTTATAAATTTTTTTATATGCGTAATAAATTATTCCTAATGATAATTGTAATAAAAACTATTTATATATTTTTACATTATTGCAGAAGATATTAAAAACTACAAATTTTTTTTTACAGCCAATTTGCCAATAGTCTTTGGGAATTATCTCTGTACTTTAACGATGACTCAGAGATAATGGCCTTACTGAACAAATTAATACATGCTTTGCAAGAAATGAACAAGTTTCATACTATTTTATTAGATCAAGCATCTAGAACTGTAATAAAAGATCTTAATTCTTTCATTAAGAGGTAATATATATATATATATAATTATTCAGCATATTTCGTGCGAACGTTTATACATTTATATGTATGTAATACTCCTGATATTTTAACAGTGATATCAAAAGGGTGAAAGAATCTCGTCATTACTTCGAAAAAATTTCCACAGACTTAGATATAGCATTAAACAGAAATTCCCAAGTTCCAAAGTCCAGACCTACAGAGTATGAAGAAACTTCTAACATTTTATCAGCAACGAGATCCTGTTTCCGGCATACGGCTTTGGATTATATTCATTCCTTAACGATGATACAATCACGCAAGCGACACGAAATATTGGGTACCCTACTTAATTATATGAACGCGTGCATCACTTATTACCATCAAGGTAGCGATTTGGCACAAGATTTGGATCCATTTTTAAAAGATCTGGGCGAGAACTTAATTAAAATGAGAGCTGATTCGGTGAAACTTGAGAAGGAAATGGAAAATCGGCATATTTACGTAACAAATAGAGACTTAATACCTTCGCCGATACCTGGTAATCCTAAAATGGAAGGCTACCTCTTCAAACGTACTAGCAATGCTTTTAAGACTTGGAATAGGAGGTGGTTTTGCTTAAGAGACCACCAGTTGGTATATAGGAAGAGAACTGGTGACAATGATTACACAATTATGGAAGAAGATCTTCGTCTTTGTACTGTAAAACCAGTAGTTGACTGTGATAGAAGAAATTGTTTCGAAGTATTAAGTCCTACTAAGTAAGCAGTTAACAATGATAATGATAAAACTCGATGTAGCAATGGATATTTTAATATATGTGTTATTTAATTTATAGGAGCCACATATTACAAGCTGATAGCGAAGAAGCTTATTTAGCATGGGTAACTGCCATGCAACAAGCAATTGGTGCTGCTATTCAGAGAGGTATGGGTGCTGGTACTATAGTTAGTATACGGGAATCACAATCACAGAATCTTAGAGGATCAAGCAGGCAACAGACAAAGCCTAAGTCAAGGTATTCATCAAAAATAATCTTAATCAAGTAATTGAATTTGGATGAAATGTAAAACACATTGTGCTTTGGTTTGTTCTATATAGAGTCTGGGAGCAACTACTAAAGATTGCTGGAAATAATACTTGCTGTGATTGTGGCGGTGATGATCCAAGGTGGGCTAGTATCAACCTTGGAATTACACTCTGTATAGGTAAACCATATTTTTTCCGAGTGTAAAAAATGAAATCTCGACGTTCTTTTAAAAAACCTCTTTTCTTCAGAGTGCTCTGGGGTGCATAGAAGTTTAGGTGTTCATTACAGCAAAGTTCGTTCCTTAACTTTAGACGATTGGGAACCGGAGATACTAAAAGTAATGGCAGAGCTCGGAAATACTGTAGTGAACAATGTTTATGAAGCTCTGCCAATTCCTTCTGATATTATTAGAGCTACTCCAAAATGCAACGGGTAGGTAAAACACTGTTATTAAACGGAATTAATCTCTGCTTCAAAAATAATGAATCTGGCTGAAATATTTAATCGACCGTGTTTTGTTCTTCCACAGTAACATACGCGAAGCTTGGATAAGAACAAAATACGTAGATCGTAAATTCGTGAAGCCTTTAAGCAACATGATCTCTGGACAACACGCGAGTCGCGATAAAATGCACTTTCGCAAATGGAGCGTCCGCAAATTGCGTCGTCGACCAAGGAGTTGCGACAAAATCGATAGTATTAATCGTAACAAAACAACGACGCTATCATCTGTGAAAGAGGGTCATCATTCGACGAGCTCGGATGACAGCAAGCATACGTCAATCGAAAGTTTAAGCTCTGTCGACAAAGCAAAGAAAGCTGAAAGAAGTTCCTTAAGCTCTGACGATAGCACGAATATAGATCTGAAGAATGAATCTACCCTGTATGGGAAAATCTTGGCACGACCTCGAAGCGATGCAAACGAAAGTAACACCAAGACTGTTAATAGCAATACGGAATCGAACGTTAAGAATGAAGATAAACTTCTTAGTCCTGAAATCAAAGACAATACGATCACTATGAGCAATTCGGAAAATAGTCTATCGACGAAAAGCGAAGTGTCCTTAAGCACAGAGAATTCTGATGGGAAAAATACATTCGAGAATAAAGATACTGGCACAGAGAAACAGTGTAAAGTAGAATCCGACGTGTTGATGTTCGGATGCGACTTACCAAAGCCAACGATCGATAATAGCTTAGAGTTAAGTTCCGATCAAGATTCAACTGCCGGGGAGGATGAAGAGTTCACGGATGAAGAAGATATCGAGAACCTACATCCTGAGATGCTGCTTTATAAAGCTGCCGCAGCACACAATCTGCCTGTAATGTGTGCAGCTTTAGCAGCTGGTGCTGATAAATCATGGACAAACGTTAATGACAGAGGAAGAAACGCTCTGCATCAGGCGATTATAAGCGTAAGTATGAAAGCCATTGTTTAAATTCATTGATAATTCATTTCTCTCGAATACAGGGTTCGGTGATGTCTTGCGAATATCTCATCCTAAATGGAGCACGTATCAATTGCCAAGATGGTTATGGGAAAACACCATTGTACTTGGCTACAGAATTAGGCAGGCATTTTCTTAACGTTTCTAATCAATTTTACCTCTTATTAAAAGTAAAGAAATTCATGTTAAACTTGGTTATTTATTTGAAATATTTAGGTCATACTGCCCAAGTGTGCTTGTTATTAAAACACCGTGCTGATCAACACATCCAGGATGAGAGTGGTGTTAACCCTTTGTCCATAGCTGTGAAAGAAGCCAATGCGGACATTGTTACATTGTAAGTACAATGTGGATTTATTTTATTAAGTAATTATACTATATTGCGTTGACGCGTGTGTTTCAGATTAAGACTTGGTCTCCTAAACGAAGAAATGAGAGACTCGGAGATTGGAATTAGCGGTGATGAAACATTCAACGACGTCGTTCGTGACTTTAGCCAAATGGCTTGTTCTCATCCAGAACGGCTGCAGCGACGAAATGAAAGTAACAACGCGTCGCAGCCGCCTGAATGAGGTTTAAGAAGTTGCAAAGTTTATTTGCAAAATTTAAAAAGCAAGTTACAGCGGAAGGAGAAGAAGGAGTATGGTACATCGAAAATGTCGTCTTTCAGTTCCTTGCAGGGTAATAAAATTGATTAATGAGTAACGAGTAAGTATGAAGAACGAAGTCCGAGGCTTTACGGTATAAGGATTGAAACGAAACGAAAAATGCATCGTGGAAGTTGTATCTTTTTACACTTTGATCTCTATGCAACAAAAGTTCATTGAAATTCATTAGCATTTTGTATTCTTATCATAAAAAAAGAAGAAAAAAAAACAAAGCTAAAGGACTTTCACATGTTTTGCGAAAAAAAGAAAGAAGAAATTATATTTTGCTTACACGCGAAATTTACGCAGTCCAGTGATAAAATGTTAAGATGTCGGTCTTTTTGTATACCTTTCTTCCTAGTTTCCTGTTAAATTTACTGAAAAGAAGTCGCGATGATACTTGTCTCGTGTGCGCTACATATATATTTTAAAGAAAATCTTACAGATTGATAAAAGTTCACACAGATACCATATAACATAAATGCAGCCTGGAATTTGAAAACTTTTGCAAATACCTATAGCAAAGTGTAAATTATTATTAGTAGATATTTCTATATCGTTTATGTGATACGAGAAACGTGACAAAGTAGCTGTAAACTCTGTAGTATGACAACTTTATTAATAGTCGACACGTTTTCGATATAGTATGGTCTAGCGAGATATCCTTGGAACAACAATTTTATACATATATCTGTTTTTATATACTTAATATTACCAGTAGTGTATATACAACTGGTACTATACAACTGTTTCTTTTTTTTTTTTCTTTCCTTTTTATTTCTTTTTTGTTAATTAAAAGTAGCAGTTTCGATGCTATATAATTAGCGTCGATTTGTGACATTATAGATACATAGAATTATGTAGTTTATGTAATAGTTACATTTATAAATAGCTGTATACTACACCTAATAGATTACCAAAATAGACTAACAATGATTTGATATAGTTCCGTATAATATATATTATATATATATATATATATATATATATATCGAATTTGTTGCCAAAAATTAATCGTTTGTACATACAAACTTCTGAGTCTGACGACTATTTGACGTTAATTCATGAAAAAAATATTTTATTTTCACGGATCATTTAGAAATAACAATCGAGAGATATATATTTCAACGAAACACACAAGAATCTTTATATTTAGAATTTTTCTATTCTTTTTTTCTTTGATAACTGATTCATTTTATTTTTTCTTATTGCATTTTTAAGTATTAAAGACGAATTAATTAACTTTCGTTTCGTCATCCGAACAACGAATAAGTTATGCTTCCTTTTGTGCATATTTTAATACTATACTAACTACGTTGAACAGTATTTATGAGAAATTTATAGGATAATGCATGATTTTTAGTATAATTGTACGTAATAGAAGAAAGAATTTAGATGAGAATAAAAGAAAATACTAATCATTGTTAACGAATATCGTTTATGTAGAGAGGCTCTATCGATAGTTACGATACAATGGTACAAAGCCGTGACCATTAACACCTCTATAAAATTTGTTTCAACGAGATTTTTACGAAAACTCTATCACTCCATGATTTTTCAGATTTGATATATTTTTTTATTTGATATATTACCATAGTTTGTTCTTCGAATCTGGTATTCGATATTTGATATAAGAATCTTGTTTAATTAAGTAAACACGACTACGATGACGTAAGCATAATTCTAACAAAATGAGATACTCATTGTTGCACGAATGATTAGCAACAGTAAACTCGTCTCTGATCTATCTTTTGATCTACGATACGGTGGTATTTTGTTACTCGCTATTTTTACAACGCAAAGTAATTTTTAAGAAAAAATCTTTCTACTTCGCGTATTTACTATACTTTGTTGCGAATCATTTTATTCTTCGAATTTTTCTATATTGAAAAATCCTATTCGAACGGAAGATCAATCTCATGCTAGTACTTGTACTTTGTACTTAGTTTCTCCATTTTATTTTCCACATATTTTGTACGTACAATTGCCGAACGAATAATAAGAAGAGGTCGGCAAACGGATTGTTTCTATTTACATACATACATACATACATACATACATACGAACGAGAATCGTCTTCCAACGATGAGAATGTCTTCGCTAAAGAAACTACCACCACGATGTTATTCTAAATTTATGGTTTTCTAATCAGAGAATTTTCTACGTTTTAGCGTTATGAATTGCTATACATTACTATAAAATCGTCACCACTTACTGCCTAATTGTGAAATATCGTTAGAATATTACATGTACGTCTATAGAGAAGTTAAACAGATAATATCGTTCCCCTGTTGCGCGCCATTGCAATAAAATTGTAAACAGTCTAATTCATGTATCATATTGTACACAAATTTTACGTCATAAAGCAGTGATTATGCAAATACATGCGTTTTATTTAATATTCCTTACCCTCGTGACTTCGCGTCGCATTTTATTATGCAACTGGAAAAAAGAGGGGAAAGAAATTGGAAAAAGAATCGATGTTTCCGCGAATGCGGCGATTTTACAGCGATCTTAGAATTCTTTGCGCCACTTTGCAAAGAAGTGGAAGAAAATATTTGACAAGCATCGTAGAAGAAACTTACGCAACGTATTATTTGTTGTGAAAATGATTAAAATTACGGCGCAATTCATGAACAGCAGCTTGATAAATCTCGACTAATCGAAAGAACCGCGTATGCATAGTGTACGCATAATTTACGCGTTGCTCTCTCGCTAAGTTGCGTAAATTAATCCAAACGGGTCAATACCCTATCGCGGTATAGTTATCAGTGTGGGTTCACACACATTCGTGGACGAATGTCCAAACTAATTTATCACGAATTTTTCTATCTTCCATGTGAATGCTCCACTTTTCGTTACTAGCATTTATTTACGCGCTCCGCCAAGATAAAAGGCAGAAAACACGTCGTCGCGTGAGAAGCTTCTTGAAATACCAGAATAAACACCAGTCATCGGGAACGCGATGTTCCATTACGAGTTCGTTAAAAATTAATTAGCTACCCCCCTTCCACGAATTCCTATATTCTCGACTGGTCGAAGCAGCCGAACCGATCGTCGAGCAAGTTACACGCGAGTAACGCCGAAAAATCGAGTAAAAGAAGAAACGGAGATTTGTCAGGATTTTCGGCTAGTTTGATAAATCGTGACTCGTTTCGATGATCTGTCGCGAATCGATGGGAAAAAATCGAGTGAATATCGAAAAGTGGAAGGCACGGCCAGCCATCGCGGTTCTACAGCCGTCTTCTTCTTATTCATTGGCTCGAAAACATGAAAATGCTCGGCCGCTGTCGATCACCAGTCGTGGATTGGCTCGACCAAGATAGCAGTGATAAGAACGAACGTGGTCTGATTGGTCGTACGTGCTTGCCTGGTTTGCCTGATAAAACCCGTTGTTTGACAAAGTATCGATCATACGCATTGGGACAAACGTGCATTAATCAGCCGACGCCATTGATGCACTCCTCCGCCGTGTTCGCGCATTTTATTTACTTCCGAATCGTGCGTCAACGACGCGATTAACTCTTTTATCCCTCGACTTGCCCTGCGGGGTTAGGGAAAAGTGTCGAAACGGTGCGACATCGTTGGACGAACTGGTCGAAAATATCAGCGTCTAATTTACGACGGGACGAAATCGCGTGGATGGTTGGCGAGTGCGAATTCACGGTTCGATTGCCGTGGAAAGAGCTCTCTCATAACGCACGATTCCATCTATCTGTAACTATGGCGGCAGGCAGTCTACGACGCCTAGAACAGTTCCTATTTCGAACGATTACGGCCTCGAGGTTGCATATGTCATTCCACGCGCAGCCAGCTGCGCTAATTCTACTGACAGATACGAACAAGCGACGGCCCGATCATTAATTCTACCACGGTCACTTTCACGATCCGTTCTTTGAAGAAAAGCACGTAGCCGGAGTTACAAATTAGCCCTGAACAAGCAGCCAATCCTCAAGGCTCCGCGAGACGAACCGCGAAATGACTTACTCCGATCGTGGACTTCCAAGAAGGGTCCAAGAAGAAATTGATTGCACGGTAAAAATGAACCTTTGGACGAACACTCTGGACGCGAGAATAACTTGCAGCCGTGCTTTGAACAATAGTTCTAAAGCGGCTGGGAATGTTTCCTTCTTCGCGCGTGGCAAAATTACAGAGAGGCAATTCGCAGCGTGCCGATGGATTTGCATCGATAATCGATGGTTCCTCGATCGTTAAGCCGCCAGGAATCGCGGCACTGGACTATGCACCGTCGCTTTGCAATTTACTTTTTTACGACGCTGAAAGAAAGTACGAACTATAGCGTTGATAAGGCCGCGGGGCCCTTTTCGGCTTGACGTCGCGTCGTAAATCAAGCCTGCTGCAAAAAGTGTCAGCGCGACTACAATTCAGATTGGCCATGGGCCACGAACGAATTTCTCGCTTCCTTTTATTTCGCTGTCGGTTTTGGCTTACTAGTCGCTCGAAATCGGCTGTAAAAACCGTGACGCCCTGCCCGTGTAACATAACCTCTAGCGAGACCAGGCGAACGTTGAACAATCGTTGCGCGGACCCTCTGCTGGTAGGAACCAACATCAGCCTGGCTTATTCCCATCTGGCTTATTCTCTATCCTTTTGCTTGGAAAAAAAGGCTTCCTCGAACTTCAAGACTCGCAATCGGGATTATTGACGATTAGCAGAGAGAATTTCCTTCGAGCTCGAGAAACGAGAAATCCTCTAATTACTTCTATCAGCGTACGCAAGACCTTGCCCGGTCGGATCAAAAGAATCGACGATCAATCTCAACATGGTTCAGAGATCGTGTTGCAGCGGCCACATTTTTTTCTTCCCGCGATTTTTCAAGCGAGCGAAAAAGCCGTCAAAGTGGGCGTCAAAATGTATACAGATATATTTATACGTATGTGTGTACATTGCGTGTGTGGACAATTCTTGCGTTCTCGATATAACGCCAAGTGCGTAGATTCCCTGCCGAATGGAACTGGCTGCGTAGAAGATTAGAATGAACCGTGAAGTCCAACGTCTGGTCGATCGACGAAATTAGTATCGCTTACTCACTCTATACTAATCACACACTGTCTGGGCC